AGCCATCTATGCACAGTATAGGTAACTTGGATATAATTTGCCTCAGTTTCCATACTAATGTTGTTGTTAGTGCTGTCTGGTAATGGTGCTGGGTAAACAAGGGAATTTCTTCTGCCTCTGAGAGATGGTTTTTTTCCAGTTCACTTGGAGCATGAAACCTGTGTTTCCAGCCAGCTTGCCAAGTTGTGTATTTCATAATAGGCATGGCAAAGGGATTCTGCTGCCTGTTCTATAGGAGAAAAATGTGTTATATACAAATAAAATGTAAATGATGCTACTGAGAGCTGTACTCATTGTAGTGGGCACTTCCAAGGATTTCCATTGTAAAATATATAAGGTGGCTGTTTCTGTGGTACTGTTCTATAAATAATTTCTGTAAAACAGAGATACTGTGTACACATGTAATTATTGGTTTCTTGCTTATGACTTGGATGCCCCAAGCAGGCTTTTCTTCTCCTGTAGGAGACTCTGAAATGAATTTATGAGAAAGATGAGGATCTTTCACAAACAGAGGTGCTCGATGCGGAGTTTTGTTAAGTAAACACACATTTGATCAGCATCGTAAGAGATTTATCTGCTTACCATTTCGTTGATGTGAATGATATTGCTAGAAGTGCACGTCTCCATCAGTTTCTCTAAAGTGGTGGTGTAAATGACAACAATCTTATGATGTATTGGATTTTTATGGGAATTAGGTTGTATTTAAAATATTGATATCCCCTGCTGGAGTATCTGGCGTGGCTATCATCACATTTGTGTAAGTCAGGGCTCAGAGTATTCAACTTAAAATAAATGCCAAAGGATTATTCAGTTAATATACTACATTTACATAGTGCTAGTTTGCATGGTTCTAGAAGCAAAGATTGATTGACATTTGTGTTTGTGTTACTTCTACAATGTGAAAGACCTGTAAAGGGGACACTTGATGAGAAATGGTGTGTGATTGTCATCTCTCAAGTATAAGAAAACAGTACGGAGTCACAAATACTCAAACAGAAAACGGAAATATTCTAAGTGATGGTCTGTTCAGGGCTGGGTGCTCTAACACCCTAACACCTCTAACAGTACGTAAGCATCAGTAGAGAACAATGTTTGATACTCCGATGCTTCATGTACATGTTATGGAGCAAACCCATTTGTTTCCTTTTGATTTTTGCAATCTCATATATGGGCTTATTGACCATATAAACTGTTTGCTAGGACAGAGTATTAAATATTTTTCTGGGTTAAAATATATCTTGCATAAATCTACTGGTGTTTTATTGATGATAGTTTTAGACTGCTGAGTCTGCGTTTATATTCTATAAGAGATGGTCTTTTTGTTATTTCAAAGAAACTGAGCAGTAGAATTGATTAGAACAGAATTGTAGGTGAAACAGGTAAGTTTGGAAACCACTACAAAGGGCAATGTGTTCTTCCCATTGCTACTCTGGAAAGAAATGCCACACATTAAAATACTGAATGCACATGGTTGTTATGTGTACTTTGGCAACCAGCTAGAATCACTAGACTTATCATATACTCAACTTTAAGCTGCTGCCAAGGAGAGACTGATAAAAGGAACAGAAGGATGATGGATGAAGAGGTTAAAAATGGAGATGACATGGTTAAATGCCAGTAGAGATAATCAGTTTTTCCTAGTCACACATGTGAACTTGACCCCAGCATGTCAGAAATGCCATATATTGATTATAGCTTTGAAATTTTGCAGGTTCTTAGAAAAAGCAATAAGAGCTCTTTTCAACTTAAAATAAAAATCTTTGCTCAGGTGTTGTATCTCTTTATACCTGTGTTCTCTCCCTACCTCTCTGCTCCATGCTTCCCTTTTTCTTCACCCTTAACTGCTTAGCCCACTGAAAAGACAGTTAGCACTGAAAGCCAGTTCATCCTTCTGCCGGTCCCTCTCCCATTCCTGGGCCTGCTGTGCAAGAATTCGTGTTGTCTGTAATGAAAGTAAGTTTCCACGTGCCTAATTCAGCCTTGAGGACCTTCATGATCCCACCAGCTCTGGTGTAGAAGGAAATGATAGACTAGAAAAGGCCTGTCCACTAGAAAGGAATCCTCATTCCGTGTGGCTGACAGGACGTTTTTGTATACCTAAGGAATGGTATAATTTCCTAGAAGACTACCAATAATGACATAAAAACCTTTCTCGCATCAGGAACCATTTAGAATGCCATAGTGAGCAGAACTCAACTCCTTAGCTGTTGAACAAAATGATAGATATACTGATAGTAATACTTTGAAAAGATCAAGAGACATCTGTTAACATTAGGATGCAAAAAAGATTAGGTCTAGTCAGAAAAAAAATGCAGCATTCATAAATCAGGAAGGCATTACTCTGCAGACTCATGCTTAGGACACTGAGCTCTACAAGTGATTCACATGTCCTTCATGCCTGTTGTCCTGTCAGTTCACTCACCAGATTTGGTAGAGCAAAGATGTGGTTCTTCTCCAGGATTAGTTGCTTTCATGTGCTTTGCAATCTTCACTCCACTTTGAACATGGACTGATGTTTAAGTGCTTAGCTGAAAACAAAAATATCCTTTAAGCTGTTTGGACAGACCCACTTTACACAGCTTTTGAGCCTTATTTTAGTTGGTTTTGATTACCATTCAGTTTTCTACATTGTGCAAGAGTTGGAGAGCAACTCCAGAGAACAAATGCTGTATGGTTGATATCCCATATGGTTGCTAGTGTTTGAAGTTTAAAACAACAAATTTTACAAATACTGTGACAGATAATGAAATAATTCAGCTGCTTCCTAGTAACATTCCATACATATGGCTTATGTTTTCATCTCACACATAAGGACATAAATATGAACAGTGCTACATGTACTGGTATTTCATGCCTCTTAGGACATGTCCAGTCTCTGCTGTTGAGCTTATAGCCTACAAAATTGTTGTAAAAAGGTCTTTCACACATCCATGTGATGCTCTCCTCCATCAAACTTGCAAACCCAGCATTGATGTGAAGACAACATAGATTTCAGAATTGCTGACTGCCCTGCTTGCAGTTGTGAAGTGCCATGGGTAGCTGGCATCTCTGCAAAACATTTGAAATGTATGTGAATATGGTGGGGAGTTGATACTGAGATCCTGTTGCTGTGCAGCTTTGTGTATACCTTAAGAAAGGAGGATGGTTTTTTTCTTATCCAATTAATAGAGGGAAAATAAAATCAAACTTGTATGTCAGTAGGCGTGGATTTAATGATTAACTTTTTAATGACAGATACTGTGTATCTGTGTTAAACAATATTTCATATCTTGACTTGCTACGTGTGTTCACGTATCAGGCAAGTTTTAATAACTGATGTTAGGTCAGATGTTTGTACACATAGGCACAGGCCTCAAGGTCTTTGTCTTTATCTTGGTAGTCAGTGTTCTGGCCCCCTCTGTGTGTTATGTTTGTTTCCTGTCTGTATCAAAGTGGTGGAAAAATAGAAGAATATTTGACAGAAATCACTTTGTGGAATAGACTGAAATGCAGTTACGAGGGCTAAGTACAAATCTTATCTTTTCCCCTGCCTGCAGTAGTTCAAACCCTTCAATAGTTTTTAATTAAAAGACAAAGGCAGATATTAATGCCTTTATTAATGCCTCAGCATTAATTTTTTGTCTTCAGTGTAACTGGGCACCAGTTTCAGAGACAATCTTTGCACTTCTACTATGAAGCACACTAGATCATATCCTAGCAGATACGGCTTTGCATTTGTTAGCAAGATTGATAATTCGCTATTTTTTAAGGTGCCCTGTTGCTTTAATTTCCATTAGAACAAAGATATTGTATACCTCATACAAAATGGAAGGGGGAGGAGGCAAATGATGTAAGGAATGTGGGAGTTAGATCCACCCAACATATTATATACTGAAGAGGTATAACAAAAATATTGATAAAGGTCTATTAAATATGTACAATTGATTCTATTCATCCTAGTGAAGGAGAATGAGGGTAAAAATGTGTTAAAATAGAGAACAGGAATCTTACAGCAATTGCTAATTTTGAGTCCATGTTATCATAAAATCATAGAATCCTAGAATATCTCAAGCTGGAAGGGACCCATAAGGATCATATCCTTGCATTTCCTTTTGTGCACAGAACAAATTTAATTTGTGATCCAGGTTGTGATCCTGGTAGCTCCTATTGAATTGCACTACTGCAATGTAAGGAGAATTTTGCTTTTTACTTTCTGAAAGTCTAGGTATAGTACCCGTAGCACTCACATTTACACATCGTGGCACACAAATGCACTTGTAATTTCTCCTCCTGGTTCCAATCGGTGTATATCTCTGAGGTTGTTATCAAGAACAAAACTAGATCAGGAGAAAAGCCACCAGACTGAGCTCAGGAGGCCAGAGGATCTAAAGATGACAAATGTGAATTGAAGAAGGGAAAATTAGGAAAGAATAGGACAAAGTAATGTGATAAGAAAACTTCATGTTTAAATGAAAGGGGCTGGAGTGACAGCTTTTACCTGAGGATAACCTCATGTAGCAAAAGACATTTTGGTCCTGTGAGTGAGACCAGAGAACAGCAGCAGCAGCAGCTGTCATTTCACTGCTGTACTTTGGTTGGGGTTGCAGCGTTCACCCAGCTGAGATGGGGGCAGAGACGTGTGGGCGTAAGTGTGTAAGGTGCGTGAAGGTGGGAAGCAGCAGCAGTGGAGGGGGCAAAGGCAGTTGTTTGCTGCTGAGACAAGGGGTGTGATGGAAGGACCTGTGGTATGAGGAAGAGCTCCTCCTGCCCCGTAGGACCTCTGTTGATTGAATGCACTGCATGGGACGAGTTTGATTGAAACCCTTTATTGGTAGAAGTGTTTTCTCGGGAGAGGCGTCCCTTGGAGTCTCGGCCGGGCGTGGGAGCGCTGGCACAGCGGCACCCACGTCGGCAAGTTCCTCATTCTCGTCTCCTTGCGCCCCACAAAGTGAGGTGCTGGGCGAGAAGGCAGGTGGTCTGCTGCGCTGGTCCCTCCGCTCAGCTTCCCATGGCCGTGTCCTTCAAAAAAGCAGGACGCTGCGAATACTAAAAAGTGGAAAGGAAAGGAGGAGTTACAGGTGCTGTGGCTGTGGGTGTTAGGGAGCAGGCAGCGGGGCAGGCATGTGTGCCTAAGGACCAGCCGCCTTCTTTCTCATCCAGCCTCTTCCTAACTCAGTTGCATGAGACGTGCAGCAACAGGGCAGCCTTCAAAACCCTGCTGAAAGGAACCCCTCAGGAGCTAAGGCACCTTGTTGCTCCCCAAAGCTCTTGTGCTGCAGCTGTAAGATATGTTCTTCCTTCCTTTGGCTTTTATGCTGTTGTCGCCAATGATGCCCCTTACTCCTCGTTCTCTTTCACCTGTCCTGTGTTTTCAAACAGTCCTCTGAGGTGTGGTGTCTGAGGGTCTGTGCTGGCTTCAGTCAGTGCCGCGGAATCTCTGCTGAGCTGAACCATGAGCCGGAGGGTTCCCTGTGCTGAGTGCGGGCTCTTCCCTCTGGGTTACGGCAGATCTTCCCAACACACGGCTCTGGGCCCTGCTTCCTCAAAAGGCTTGGATGCTTTTTGAGAAGGCAGTATTGCATGCTCTGCCTGCCAGAGTGTTGGGACTGTTTGAATTTTAGGTGGAGGTGGCATTTGCTGTATCTTGCTCCTGCTAGTCAGGGTCTCACCTTTTTCCTGTACGTAACAACTCAAATCCCTCGTTCACTTTAGCAATTGGCAGCGTGTGCGTGATCAGCAAGTCTGAGTTGAATTTCTTCTCCAAATAGCTGGAAACTAATTTGGGGATACAATCTCTCATCTTCCAATCTAGAAATGGGAGAAAGCACCTGCAGTGAATAATCGGAGAAACGCTGTTTTGGTAAGGTAATGTTTGCCAACAGTGTAGCAGCTCTTCTCTGACCAGAATATCAGAGTCGACCAGGGGCTTGTCCCCTCTACCAGGCTGTGCTGACCTGTAAAATATATTTGAGGCGGTGCCCTTGTAAAGTGCGGTAGCTACTTCTCGGAATGCATCAAAATTAATAGGATGAGGCTAAAGATGAGAGGGTCCCTTCTTTGAGCTGGGGGTGTAGCTGGAGGGAGTGAGAAGGTCCTTGAGCTGCACCAGCCCCTCCTCTGGCATAAGACAGAAGCACTTACACTGCAGTGAAATGCAAGCTGAGATCAATTGCTGGGGCTCGAGGGGAGCGTGTGAGAGTGGCCACCGCTGAAAGGCCAGGTAGCGGATACGTGTGTGATGGAGGGGCGGGGATGAGAGAAAGCGAGAGAGTGGAAGAGGGAAGAGGAGTCTTGTAGTGGAAGGAGAGAGCAAGGTGCAACAGGAAGGTATTAGTGGGGCAACAAGGAATTGCTTTCATGGGACATTATGATCTTCCTACACATACTCAGGACTGAGCGACTAGTACTGGTGCCTTTATCTTGTGAGCAATTTTCCTCTCCTTCGGAGGAGAGTGGTTGTGTCCTCATTTTAGTCTCCGGTTAGCATAGACTGTTGTGTTGAACTGTGTTGAACTGTATGAAATAGTTACAGGTTTATTAGCATGTTTCATGCCTATCTATACAGTGGAAATGCAGCGCCCCTGTTTAGTTGTGGGGTTTTTTTTCTGGAAAGCCCTCTCAAAGAGGCTTCCTGGGACATTGCCAAGCTTGAAATATTCTTGGTGACCAAGAGGTTAGTGAATAATGACTATGAGGAAAAGCATCTTTTGTCCTACAGCTGAGGACATTGCTCAGGTGGGAAAACTTATTTTCAAGGGGAGAATTATTCATATGCACTGAAGGGTACCTGTTCCACAGACATGGAGAAGGCTGAGGTACTCAACAATTTTTTTGCCTCAGTTTTCAATAGTAATCTCTCTTCCCACATCTCTCAAGTCCCTGAACTTCAAGGCAGGGGAATGAAGTCCTTCTCATCAGAAGTGAAGATCATGTTTGAGATCACCTCAGGAACCTGGACATACGTTAAGTCCATGGTACCTGACGAGATGCATCCCACAGTCCTGAGGGAATTGGCTGATGTAGTTGCCATGTCACTCTCCATCACATTTAAAAAGTTGTGGCAGTCAAACGAAGCGCCCAGTGGCTGGAGAAGGGGAAACATCACACCCATTTTTAGAAAGGGTGAAAGAAGGACCCTGGCAATTACTGACCGGTCAGCCTCACCTTCGTGCCTGGTAAGATTATGGAACAGATCCTCCTGGAAGATACATTGAAGCATATGGAAGACAGGGAGGTGACATGGCTCACCAAGGGCAAATCATGCCTGACTAACCTAGTGGCCTTCTACGCTGGAGTGACTGTGTCAGTAGACAAGGGAAGATCTACGCATGTCATCTACCCGGACTTCTGTAAGGCCTTTGATACGGTCCCCCACAACATTCTTGCTGCTATTTTGGAGAGATATGGGTTTGATGGGTGTACTGTTAGATGGATAAGGAATTGGCTGGATGGCCCCATCCAAACAGTCAATGGCTCAATGTCCAAGTGGAAACCAGTAAGGAGTGGTGTTCCTCAGGGGTCCGTGCTGGCACCAATACTGTTTAATATCTTCATCAGTGACATAGACAGTGGGATTGAGTGCACCCTCAGCAAGTTTGCAGATGACACCAAGCTGAGTGGTGCAGTTGAGGGAAGGGATTTCATCCTTGGCAGGCTTGAGGAGTGGGCCCATGGGAACCTCATGAAGTTCAACAAGGCCAAGTGCAAGGTCCTGCACCTGGGCTGGGGCAATCCCCAGTATCAGGACAGAGTGAGGGATGAATGGATTAAGAGCAGCCCTGCAGAGAAGGACTTGGGAATACTGGTGGGTGAAAAATTGGACGTGTGCCAGCAATGTGCACTTGCAGCCCTGAAAGCCAACTGTATCTGGGCTGCATTAAAAAGAAGCATGGCCAGCAGGTCGAAGGAGGTGATTCTCCCCTTCTACTCCACTCTTGTGAGACCCCACCTGGAGTACTGTGTCCAGCTCTGGGGCCTCCAACACAACAAAGACATGGACCTCTTGGAGCGGGTCCAGAGCATGGCCACGAAAATGGTCAAAGGGCTGACACTTCTCCTATGAAGAAAAGCTGAGAGAGTTGGGATTGTTCAGCCTGGAGAAGAGTAGGCTCTGGGGAGACTTTATTGTGGCCTTTCACTGCTTAAAGGAGGCTTGTAAGAAAGATGGGGAGAGACATTTTACAAAGACTTGTAGTGACAGGACAAGGCGCAATGTTTTTAAACTGAGAGAGGGTAGATTTGGATTGGACACAAGGAGGAAATTTTTTATGATGTGGGTGGTGAGACACTGGAACAGGTTGCCCAGAGAAGTTGTGTACGTGCCATCATTGGAAGTGTTCAAGGTCAGGTTGGATGAGGCTTTGAGCAACCTGTTCTAGTGCAAGATGTCCCTGCGCACAGCAAAGGGGTTTGACTTTGAAGGTCCCTTCTAACCCAAACCATGCTGTGATTCTATGATTTGGGAACTACCATGAAAGGAAAAGATGGAAATGTCCAAAATGTTTTCTTGAGTTTCATACCTCCAAGCAGAGTCCCCTTCCATGTACGCCCAGACAGCAGAAGCATAGGATCGATGGAAATCACTGAACCAGGAGCTGGTACCCCAACCATCACGCAGACGCCAGTGTTCATATTGCAGGAGGCCAGGGCAGCAGTCTGATGGGACAGGCAGGTGAATTAGAGAACGCGCTGATGAGTTTGTCAGAAAAAGCATTCTTTCTGTGCAGCCATCTGCCCCTCCCTGGTAATCTTGGAGAGCTCAGTGCCTGTCCTGAGACTCGTACATCATTTTCTCCTAAAGCCAATAGGCTGCCTTTCTGGGCAAAGATGTGCCCAGTAGTGCAGACGGCAGGTAAGGAACTGCCTGCTGGGGTGAATTTTGCCCTGATGGGAGCCTGTGAATGAGCTGGGAGGGAGGACACGTGCTGAAATGCCACCTACCATGGTATCCGCATGCCCGATGACCTCAAAGGAGTAGTCCACGCCATGACCAGTCATCTCAGTGAGCACCTCCTGGATGGGCTTCTTGAAGTCCCGAGGACTGATGCATTCGGTGGCTCCCAGCTCCTTGGCCTTGGCAAACTTGTCTTTGTTGATATCAACAGCAATGATGCGGGAAGCTCCAGCCGCCTTGCATCCCATGACAACAGAGAGGCCAACTCCTCCGACACCGAAGACGGCACAGGTGGAGCCTGGTTTTACCTGCACAAGATGGGGCCCTGTGAGTCTCCAGCGTGAAGAGGAGCTTTCTGTTGTACAGGGTTGGTGAGGGTGCGAGGGCGGCTGTGGGGTGCTTGTGCTCGACGTGGCTGAATACCAACCTTGGCGGTGTTGATGGCAGCCCCATAGCCTGTGGGAAACCCACAGCCGAGCAAGCAGACTTTGTCCAGAGGTGCAGCAGCATCTATCTTCGCAACAGCGTACTCTGGGATCACGGTGTATTCTGCAAAGGTGCTGACCCACAGGAAGTGGTGGATCCGCTTCCCTTTGCAAGTGAACCGGCTGGTCTTGTCAGGCAGCAGGTTTTGTGGTTCAGAGAGACTGTTGGGAGGTGCATACATTTGTTATTCATCAAGTAAAGCACCCGTGGGGTTGTCAGATTTGTTGACGGACAGCCGACCGCATTTAAGTGTAGGGGAAGAAGAAGCAAACTCACTGGGACTTCAGGCAGTAGTTGGATTCGGGATTCAGGCAGAAGCTGCATTCCCCGCACTGTGGAAGGCAAAGGGGGATGACTTTGTCTCCTGCAAGAAAGCGGGTCCCTGTTAGGTGCCTCTCGCTCAGCAGGCCCTGAGGTGCTGCCTGCTGGGACGCCTCTGCTGAGCTTTCTGGTGGCAGCATCCTACCACGAACCCTCTGCTTTCTCTGTCAGGAGGAAATGCTCAGAGCCCCACTCGTGTGTGTGGGGAATAGACCAGGAAAGTGTATGTGACAGGCCAGTGCAATAAGTGTGCACTCAGGTTTTGAGCCACTGACGCAGGAGCAGGGGGGAGTTTCTGAGCTCTGGGCAGCCTCATCCGCTTTGAGAGCTGACTCCTGGGCGTGTGCTTGTGCGTGTGTCTTACCTGGTTTCACAGAGGTCACTCCTTCTCCAACGCTTTCCACAATCCCAGCTCCTTCGTGGCCTGGGATAACTGGGAAATCCACATTAGGAAAGCAACCTTCCAGAATGTGGTCATCTGTGCGACAGATGCCACTGGCTACAATCTGTTTGGAGAAGAAAGAGCAGATGAGCTTTAGAAATGGCCTGGCCTCTGTTTAACCCAGTTTGTGGAAGGATTTTTTACGGGGCTTCTCTGGACAATTAAGGCCTATTAGTGGACACAGATCTCTGACAGGTATATTCAAGGTATAACCACAAGAAAAGCAATTCCCACAAGGCAGAAAAAAAATATTGAAATGTGTTTTTACCTTGATACGGACTTCACCTGCCTTTGGAGGTGCAACCTCCACCTCCTCGACAGAGAGTGGCTTGCCCACGGCCCAGGCAACGGCAGCTCTGCATCTGATAACCTGGAAGCAACAGAGGGGATTACGCTGCATGGGAATTTTTTGCCTTTGGCGCACGGTCGGGGACGGTCGTCTTACAATCACCTGAAGCAGAGCTGCACAGCGCGCGTCTCTGCGCACTGGAGTGTGCGCTGCTGGAGCTGCGCAGCTGTCCTGTGCTCTTTCCTGGGGGACTTGCTGGGTGGGTGGGATGCGGTGGGAGAGCAGAAACACGGGAGCGCTCGGCTGTACGCGAAGCCAAGTGATGTTCAATAAAGACTGGTGAGGTGTGAAATGCAAAGATGAAGTGACCAGTCCGTAGAGGGTAAGGCTTGTGTTTTTCCTGGGATCGTGGACCTGGAAAAACCTGCCTGCCTTGTGTCTGTGGGAGAGGGCTCTGGGGGTGACCCCGGGGCAGCAGGGCCGAGCTGCTGCAGCACGGGAGAGCTGCGGCCCTGCGGGGGGGTATCCTCCCGACAGCACCCGATGCTGGTGCCCTGCCCAGCCTTTGGCTAGTCTGTGCTAAGGGGAAGGTGAAGACAGCTCTGGCCCCTCTCCTCTTTGCCGCGTGAGTACCAAGTGGGTTCCAAGCTGACTTTTGGTAGGTGAAGATCCCTGAAGGAAAGAGACTCTGGTGTACTGGGCAGATTTGACAGCAACATGTGCGCTTTTGTGTCTTCAGGCCAGAAGGACAGCACTTCTAGTACCGGTGGAAACGCCTGTTACAAGCTTTGCTGTACGGTCTTGTAAAATACTGGGCTGAAGGTACCTAAGAGGGGTTAAGGAACGATCCCCGTCTGGCTGGCAACTGGATAATTTTTTCCCATGCCGAAGGGATGATTTGTGTGTGGCATCTCTCAAACCCCAAGCCAATCACCCCAGAGCTGGTTTGATGTCAGCAAAATTCAGCTTCCAGCTTGAAAGGGGTTTTGCCAAGGAAAAAGTTGAATGCAAGAGATGAGTGGCTGCAAGGCTGCACCTCTGAAGAGCTGTTTCCCTGCCAAAGCGGGAGCGCAAAGCGGGGCTGAGCGGGTGGGTGTTTTTCAGAGTGGTACGACACGGTATTTTCATTTCTGAGCTGCTCAGCAGAACAGGAGAGGAATGCACTACCTAACGCAGGTACCAACATGTGCAGTTATATGAAAGCAGAAGCTTGTGTAATTCAAAGGGGTTTGGATGGGCTGCGGGAGCAAGGTCAGAGGAAACTGGGTGCGCAGTAGAGGTGCGCAGGCTGAGCCGTTTGCAGAATATTTCCCCAAGAGCCGGGCACCTCGGAAAGGAAGACGGGAAATGAGTTGTCCTTACTTTTCCAGAAGTGGCCATGTGGTCTTAGCAGAGCTGTTGCCGTCGCTGCAGCAGGCTGGAGGGAAGCTGCCGCCCGTCTGGCCAAAGCCCCGTGCGAATGGCCCAGCTGGAGCACTCCTGGGCAGCTGCCGGGGGAGGCAGGGAGCGTGGAGGGTGTCCTGCTGTGGGGCCTTCGCCGGAGAGCGGGGAGCGGAGGTTCCTCTGTGTCCGATGCCGGACGCTGAGGAGCACGGCGAGTGTTGAGTAGAGGAGCTGGATAGCGGCAGGGAGCTGCTGATGGGCGGCAGTCACGCTCCACGGGGAGTGGGCAGAAGTCCACCGGGGAGGCTTTTATTGGTGGCTCTGCCTTCGGCCATGGCCTGCCCTCCCTGCATGAAAGGCACAGAGAGCTCAGCGAGATTTTTCTCCTCCGGTTGCTGCCGGCGGGTGTGGAGGGAGGAGATTCGCTCCTCGGGTTCCCTTGCTGCCAAGGGGTAGCATTTGACCTGGCAGCAGTTCACATCAAGGTGTTTGCGAAAGGATTAAAAATTAAAAAAAAGAGAAAGACGTCAGAGAAAACATGATATGGTGGACAAACACACCATACTGCCCTTTTGGAGTGAAGCTTAACTGTCTGTTGTATTGCAGCTATTTTCACCTGGGTAGTAAGGGGAGAATGTCAGGAAGGGGGGGCTTTTCCAAGGACGCATTTGTTTCACTTGTGTGTAACCAGGTTTGCAAGGGGGTTCACTCCCCCGCGCTCTCCTGGTTCTCACAGATCTGTTTCTGCTGAGGCATCGGGTGAGATTTATAGGAGATTGGATGAGCGAGACCTTGTTGGAGGACCAGGCTAAGATGAGCACCCTGTGTGTGACCCTCAGGTTTGGAAACTGCTTCTGCACTTGGGAAGACATCAGCCCCAGGTTTATGTGTTCAGGGAACTGCCTGGAGAGTTTTGTGTGGGCGCTTGCTACTGCGTGTCCCAGCCCTGTTTCATGGGGCGAGAGGGAAGGTCAGCCGCAGCAGCAGCACTTGATGTTGCAAGGCTGAACCCCCACCTCCCGAATCCCCTGAACCTGTCTCCGGCTTCACCGATGCAGACCAGCAGCGCTACCGTGCCCCCACAGCTGGCTGAGCTCTTGCCCGGGGCATGGTGGCCCTGTGGTGTCACAGTGGCTCCAGCTGCGTGGAAGTGCTGCTGGGCAGCCTGTTCCCCAGCCTCGCTGGTCAAGCCCAACCTCTAGGTGATGGTGGCAAGTGCTGCCGTGCTGCTGTCATGGAGGTGAGCACCTGGCACTAGAGTGGCCATGCACTTGTGGATCATTTTGATCTGTATTTCAGGTGCACAGGGATGTTTAGCAGTTTTTCCCAAGAAACATCTACTTTTTTGTACATCTCTGCACACCTTTGGTGTGAGTGCTGGTGATGTATAATTTCCCTGGAATAAGGATTTTTAGAATGAAGTTTTTAAGGTTTTCAATATTCAGCGTGGTCTGCCTGCTGCATTTTAAAAAAAAAAAAAAAAATCTATCATGACTTGTGGTATGATTTATGTATTTTGCAAGAGAAAAATTTGTTTCACTTGTCCTGAGCAGCAGATGTGACAGCCCTTGAACAAAACATTGACCTGTCATCTCCCAACTATCTGTGCAGCACAGTGGTTTTTATTACTGGGAGGCATGCTCTCCATCTGATAAGCTGGAAGCAATAGAGGGGATTATACTGCATGGGAATGATCATTTGCCGGTGATGCACGGTCATGAGGATGATCTTACAAGCATGTAAAAACAGAGCTGCACAGCACGTGTCTCTGCATGCTGGAGCACGCGCTGCTGGAGCTGCACAACTGTCCTGTGCTGTGTCCTGCTGGGTGGGTGGGATGCGGTGGGAGAGCAGAAACATGGGAGTGCTCAGCTGTATGCGAAGCCAAGTGATGTTCCATAAAGACTGGTGTAGTTTAAGGTCTGAGGAAACACCATTTGTGCTTTGTCAGACAGAATTTGTCTCTTGGGATTTTTCATGGCTTTTGTGGATTTTTTCATAGTGTTGTCATGTGCTAGTGGACAGATTGTACTCTGATGGGGAGTGTGGACCCTGCTCATTCACAGGAAAGCCCCTAAACGGAGGCTCACACAGAGCCACTGCATGTGGCCCTGAACCCACCTGCAGTACCTCAGAGTCAGAGAGCCATGGGGAAGGTCTGTCAGAAACATGCTGTCCAGAGCTGCACAATCACACAAACAAATTAATCTTCAGCTGAGTGTGGTTGGGGACCTGCAGGGAGAAATACTCTAGGACAGTATGAACTATTTGTCGTTCCCCAGTCAGGAGCCACTTCATTCCTCCATGTGAAGACAGAACTAGATTGCTGCCTTATAAAATGCCCCTAACAAGAATGATTTCATGGGTTTATTGTTTTGGACCCCAGCAACTATCCTAGTAAGGATACTAACAGCAGATGTTTACTATGCTTGGCAGATTACAACAACAGAAACAGGCTTTGCATGAGCCTGAAGCGAGGAGGTTCATTGTACTTTATTCCCCAGCTCTATTTTTTTTCCTTCTTCTGCTCTGAAGCATGCTGTTATATTCTCTACCCTTCATGCAATAAGGAATGCCTTGGGAAAAACATGTATCTGGCGTATGGGGGATACTTTACCTCTCCATGCTCCTTCTTTCTGTCCTCACAAGCTAGGTTTAAACAGGCATTCTTTGGCTTCTGTTTAAGTCATGAGCTGAACATACCTTAGCTGGTACAATGAACTAGCTTGGCCTCCACAGAAAACATTTTGTTAGAGTACTCTGAGAATTGAGATATTATTATGCTCTTGTTTCTGCTAAATCCAAGTTACTGCCGGTGAGATCAATGAAGTGGAATTAAACCCCCTCTCCTTCTGTTTTGAATAGTGATGCAGTTCACACTGTTGATTCACACACAACCTGCCTTGAAAGAGATCAGAGCTCTTCCACTGAACTGCACTTGAAAAGAATTATTTTATGGTCTAGAAAAAATCTTCAGATCTGACTGGACAGGTAACTCCACAGAAACAAATGACTGAAGTTTGGGTCTTAATTGCTGTGTAAACTGAGTTTATTATACACACACTTCTTCTGTTAAAGTCTAATCTCTCGGTAAACTTATCCTCAAATCATTAACCTAGCTGGGCTCAGGGACACTTTCTGCTGACACAAACAAGTCAGTCATCATTAGCATACACTCCCCTTACTTCACAGGCTCTTCTACCCAGCTACCATGCACGCGAGTGCCTGCAAGCTCTGATTAGTACTTTTGAAAGATAAGTCAATGTTTACCAAGATAGAAATAGACTCTGTTGCTGTTTCCACGTTACAAATGCAGAAAGCAGATGCTTTATGTTTGATTTCTTGCGAACTGTTATCAGTCGCCTGTTTCTTCCCATTTACTCTGTATTCACATGTAAATGTTAAGAAACCTCCCCTTTATTTAATGGAAACAAATAACAATATTTGATGCACATTCATATTTCTTCACATTGTTTCCCAAGCATCAGATGCACTTGTATAAATTGGCCAAAGATCTAAAACCATACTGATAAAACAACTGAAATATCCCCGAGAAAGAGGTACAAAGGTAAAAAAAAAAACAAACCACAACACAGAACACCACGACAGCAGTTTTATATAAAATGCTTGGAAGTGTTAATTTGGTAAAATACCCAGTGGTGAGACATTCTCCAGTACCTAAGTCTATGATTGACTTAAATATCATTTACTGAAATTATTAATTCAAACATGTGGTCACCATAAATTTTAATCTCTGCAGTAATTTCCTTGCCTATCAGGTAACAGAATGCTAAAATAATTCAGGATGGATACATAGTTCTGATGTAGCGTTTTACTGTGCTGAGCTGCATGCACAAATCTGTTAAGCTTGCAGTGTTATGAAGGCCCAAAGAAGCAGTTTCCTTCGTTTTTCTTTTATTAAAAGATTGCATATCAAAAGTCATTTTAAAAAATCCAAAAATTTCATAACACCTGTGACGGCAGCAAGTCCTGTAATTCATAACTAGCTATTAAAAGAAAATTGCAGCACAATACAGAGGATTTAAAGCAAGAATGAGGAGAAAGAGGTACGAGGAAAAAGATTATTTCATTTATAAACGCTGTGCTTCAAGTCTGGGGTTTGAGCTTGATTCTTTTATTCAAGGATGGTGGTTGTAGACCTTTCATATCAGTTGTATTGGAGGATAATGAAGTTTGTACTGGTGCTGAGCCATCTGCTGCTTAACAACTGGGAATCCTAAAACACCAGGACACTGCGAATACTGCAATATGAAATTACAAGTTAGTGATTGTAGAAAAGCCCCTGGGCTAATATCAGCAAAACACTGCTGTTTTCTCTGAAAATCTAGGCTATTGCTGTCAACCAGAGTACTCCCTCCCTGCCCCCCCAGCCCCAGCTTGCAGCAAAATGACAGAGCAGATGTGCAAACCTTGCTGCAGATGCAGAGAAAAAAATTCATGCAAGACTGCAAAGCCTTCACTCATGAAGCCCAGGGCTCCTGGCAATTAATCACCAAATATAGCCTGGGAATTCCTTGGAGCGGGGCTTAGACACATATTTCTAGTTACAAATGGCTCTAAGGGTAACCTCTGAATAAGCCCAGCTTATTCTGGGCTGAAACACTGAAGTGTTTCACTTAGTAAAAATAGTCAGCTGCAACACGCCTCTGTCTTCAGGTTGACTGTCAGTTTTAACAAAGCTGATGGCGTCTCTGTCCTCACCGCTTTCCCCTGTTTGTTACACTAAAATCTAAAACTAACTTTATAGCACATCTAAAATAAGGACAGTCAAAAAACGAAGTGCGTGCTGCATAGTTAGAACCTGAGAACAAACCTCAGGGGCTAAATTCTTCTGTTACTTTATATTTAAAGCAAGTAACACCTAAAATAACTGCTAGCTAATGACAATGAAAAGAAAATAGGAATGTAATTCTCCAGACTGTGTAAGTTATAAATGGCTAGAACTTTCAGAAAGGGTAGTCCTCACACATGCTAAGGTGTACAAATGCGTTTCCCATTTCTGCCAAGGATAATTTTCAATTATTC